AACAGCACCTCACTCCCAACCATTTTAGCACATCACGTGCGACAGTTATGAGCCCAAAGACTCTTCCTCTGCTACACAGCATTATCCGCCGATAAATCTATCGCAATAACACTCTTCTCACCAGGAGCAACTCTCCTCACGAGGACGATCCTCCTCACAGAGTCGGCACAATCTTAGGCCGGCTCTACAGAAAGAATCAACACATCAATCCTTCAAAATGTCGTTTAAGGATCACAATCTTCCAATGCTCAACTCCCGAGATGACTGGACTGACTGGATCAACTCTATCGAGGACCTTGCTGTACGAAACGACGTATGGAACTATTGTGACCCCGAAGGCATCGACAATTTGGAGTTCACCGCCAGGAAACCGCCAGACTCAGCAAGTAAAGACACTGTCCAGAGATATCAAGTCCTTCAAGCCATCTACGATAGCGGGAAGAAAAAGTACGATAAAGTCTCTGAGCGTATAGACATCACCGTCTGCGCGGAATTCAAACAACACTACCTCGGAATCCATAATGTCCGAGGTAAACTCATTGCGTTAGCTGAGAGCATTCAGCCGACCGCGAAAGACCAGAAACAGAATGTTAGGGCCGAGTTCGAGAAGCTTAAGAAAGGCGTTGGCAACACCGGTCTCGACAAGTGGCTTAGTCGATGGCCTGCTCTCGTCAACAACGCGAAGCGGTACAAGATCGAGAACCTGAGCGAGTCGCAGATATGTGAAGCCTTCGTTGAAGCCTCTCGTGACCTCAACCCTCCATTCTATAACTACATGAAGTCCAAAGAAGCACAAGTCGAAAGTGACACATCTCTTATTAAAGAGATGGCAAGAGCAATGGAGACGATCTCTGGGGCATTCATCACTGCTCTCAATGAGATCAATCTAAACCATGCCAGCAACGGCTCTGTGTCAATTGATAACCTAAGTGCCACAGATTCGGATGTGACTGAAGACGATGCCGATATCACAATCGTACAGAGGGCGCAGAACAGGATCAACAACACTCTTCGGTCCTTCCATAGGCTGAATCCAACTCTTTCTGATAAGAGAATCACGATAGGCTTCTGTATCAAGCAGTTTAGGACCATGGCACCGCCACGCGAAAAAACTGCAAGAGGGCGAGCTGCACACGCTACCCTTCAAGGCAGAAAGCAAGATCTTGATTCAGGCTTATCAGACGATGAAGATTCTCAGCCGAAGCGGAAGAGACAAAGAGTCGACTCCAATCTAACAACAACCAATTCCCAAATTACCCTTCGCGATTGCGTTTGTGGCCTAGCCCATAAATACGCAGACTGTCGGTATCTCAATCCATCAAGTGCTCCATCGGGATGGACACCAATCGTTCAAGTCAAGTCCAGAGTCATCACGGCAATCAAAGGAAGCAAGCGTCTTCGAACAAACATTGAGAAGAACTTCCAAAGAAATAAAATCGCCTTGCCAGACTATTGGCCCGCTGATACTCCCAAAAACCAACCTGAAAACGCAATACAAGAGAGCAACTCCTCAACCTCGACCTCGGCAACAAGTAGGTCGAGGGCATCGTTTGCAACATCAAGATTCGCTTTTGGCACATCTACAGAAGACGAATATGATCACTGCTTCCGACTCGACAACTGTGCGGATACACATGTCTGTAATGACCTGTCTCGGTTCACTCAGTATAAACCGTTGTACTATGAAACTATACGATTTGGAAATTCTGATACCCAAATCGAGGGGACAGGAAGTGTTACAGTCTATGTCGATACTCCGTCAGGTCCTAGCATTATCCAACTTGAGAATGTTGCCTACGTACCTGGTTTCCATTGGAATCTAATAAATACGGACTCTCTTGAGAAGCAAAGCCTATTCTTCAACACGAGAACATGTTGGATGGAATACTCGGACGGATCAAACGCATTCAAAGCAACCAAACACGGCGCATTCCGAGTCGTTGAACCACACATTAAACAGTCTGTCCTTAAAGCCGAATCCCACAGCAAAGCAGCACAAGCCTTTGCCATGGCAAGGAGGTCACGAACACCTCAGATTGCCGTGGCATCAATGGACACTTGGCATGCGAGACTAGGACATATTAGGAAAGACGCTCTCGAGCATGTTCCGCAGGCAGTTGAAGGAGTAGCACTTGGCACTCGCGACTTTCAGCGGACCTCAGATCTCTGTCCTGAATGCCAACTCGGACAGGCCCAACAGCAAATTTCACGAGTTCCGACATGGAGAGGAAGCTATCCATTCGAAAAAGTCCACTTGGACCTGATTCAAATGGAGGAAGCATTCAACCTTGACGCTTGGGTCGTTCACTTCTACTGTGACTGCTCAGGGTATCATATTTCTTTCAATCTCCCAAACAAAACGCAAGAAGAACTAGTTTCTGTGACGCAGGAGTTCCTTTCGATCACAAATGATAACTGGGGCTTTACCACGAGATACATTCAATTAGATGGCGAAAAAGGCCTAGGCCATGCGTGGAAGGACTTCATCACCATGAAGGGCATCACGTTCAACCCATCTCTACCAGATACTCCAGACCAGAACGGTCTTGCAGAACGTTCTGGGGGGGTGATTATGGCTACCGCGCGCAAACTTCGCATACAGAGCAGACTACCTCACAAACTCTGGCCATATCTCGTTGCGTACGCTACTCGACTCCTCAATCGTATTCCGGTACAGCGGAAAGGATGGCAAACACCTTTTGAGATGGTCCATGGCCGCAAACCCAACCTCTCATATCTCAAAATCATTGGGTCTCGTGCATATGTCTTGATCAAAAACAAAAGGGTTCGTCCAGCCACAGCAAAGCTGAAAGAGAAAGCAATCATGGGATGGCTTGTCGGGCTAGACGCGACCAACATCTACAAAGTCTGGATCCCATATCTAGATCGTGTTGTCATATTTCGGGATGTACAAGTAGACGAGAAGGTCATGTATGATCCGCAGCTCGTTGAAAGCCCTCCTGAAACCGGACAAGCATTGTCAATCACTATCAACGAGATTGATATAGATGAGTCGGATACGGAACTGTTTCCAATCGACGAAGACACAACAGTTCCTAGCTCAAATCTAGTCCAATACGAAGTACCATCAGGGTTCCTCTCTCCACCGCAAGCTCTATCCACACAAGCAGCTTCAAGAGAGACACAGAGTGATACGAACAAGCTACAACAACCATGGCGATATCCAACTCCAGTGTCACTTGAATCTCGTCAACCAAGCACAACAAACCAAGACTTTTCCAGAGAAACGGCAAGTCAGCCTACAGCAAACTCGGTTCAGTCACACCTTACTGCACGGCAGGGGCAAAAGACGGCACGTCGACAAGCCCATGCCCTTCGACTTCAACGTGCGAAGCTAGGACAACAACTTGCCTACGCTTTCGCATCTGCACGAACAATTCGAATACACCGAAAGGACTTATTGCCACCACCAGATTTCTGGTATCAGCTAAAGCGACACCCGGAGCGAGAAGGCTTCAAAGGTGCCGCAGATACTGAGGTAATTACGCTCAAAGACAAGAAGACCTTTATACTGGTCGACTATCCAGAGCACAAACAAGTTCTACCACTCAAATGGGTCTTTACCTACAAATTCGATGATGCCGGATACCTTATTCGTTACAAAGCACGAATATGCGTAAGAGGCGACCTTCAACATCATATGGCTGATGACATCTATGCGGCTACCGGAGCGTATCGCAGTTTTCGCATCCTTATGGCTCTAGTCTGTGCGTTTGGGCTTCTGTGTCATCACATTGACTTCAAGAACGCTTTCACCAACGCAGATATGGACGACGAGATATATACTGCCTGCCCACCAGGGTATGGTAAGCCAGGAAAGGTTTGGAAGCTGCTTAAAGCGCTTTACGGCTTGCGCAAGTCACCACAGCTATGGTTCGATGAACTTCTATCATTTCTCAACGGTCTGGGATTCAATCATTGCCCAGATGAACCATGCATTCTCATCAATGAAGAAACAGGAATTATTCTATTCCTCTACGTGGATGATCTTCTTGTTATTGCACGACAAGAATGCCTCCATCAAATCAACCAATTCAAAACAGCAGTCAACAACAAGTATGGGATCAAGGATTTGGGTGAAGTAACCTCCTTCCTCAACATCAGGATCCTTCGCGATGCCAAAGCCAAAAAGCTTTGGATATGCCAGAACGGATACATCGACAGAATATGCACAAAATTCGGGATAGATGGGTCGTTAAGAACGGCTACTACGCCTCTTTTCTCATCATATCGTCCCCAACCTTTCGAAGGACAGGCAACTATTCAACAGATCACAGAAATGCAGGAAAAGGTAGGTTCAATACTGTATGCAGCAGTGGTATCAAGACCGGACATCTCCTTTGCAGCCAGCCAGTTAAGTCAGTTCGCTACGAACCCTTCACCAGAGCACTTGCGGTACGCAAATCGAGTTCTCTCATATCTCCAGACCACAAAGTACTATGCCATCGAGTTCTCGGGCTCTGTGGACTACTCCACAGAAGTAGAGACAGGCGATGATGAAGTACTACAGCTGTCAAGCGACGCATCGTTCGCGGATGATCTAGAGACTCGAAAATCTACCCAAGGTTACCTTATGAAGTTGTTCAGCGGATCAATCATGTGGCAGTCATCTAAACAGAAGACTGTAACCACATCGACAACTGAAGCGGAGCTCTTATCGCTATCACACACAGCGAGGGAGACTATAGGTCTATACAGACTCTTTGCACAGGTACAGTTTGATCCTGAACACCTTCCTCGCATACTCTGTGACAATCAACAAACAGTGGGCCTGATCCAGAAAGAGAGACCACAGATGACATCAAAACTGAAGCATGTCGATATCCATAACCTTTGGTTAAGGCAGATCTATCGAGATGGCAAAGTTGCAGTCCAGTGGGTTCCCACCACAGATATGCCTTCGGATGGCTTCACAAAACCCCTCTCAACAGAGAAACACATTCACTTCATACATCAATTAGGCCTGGTTGATCTCTCCTCGCGGATTGATCCAGGATACGTATCAGAAGAGGATAGTCATCATGATCTTCAGATATCATCTGAAACAGAGTGAAATCTGGGGGGGTGTGTCGCAGACCAAGGTTTCATCTAAGGGAGCTCGAGGCTACAAACTGCATTAATAAACTTGCC